CTTTTTTTCCGTAAGTAAAACCCGGCGTTTTTTAAAATTATGTTTTTTTTTTCCCCTTTGATGTAAAAAAAAAAAAAAAAAAAAAAAAAAAAAGTATTTCGATACGGTTGAAAAACCACCTTATCATAGCACAAAAACTTTTTATCGAGAAATGTGTCTCCATTAAGCAAACTTATTTTTGTAATTCCAATTTGCGCAATTTTATGATTATTAGAAACTTAGCTGGTGTGTAGGCAGATTCAGTGTGCAGCAGCTGCATCACAGTTCTGCACACCGCCCTGTAACAGAGACTGTAAGCCAGGCCTTCTCGCCCAACATCAGTGTCTGACCTCGCAAAAGTAACACGTTCCTAAACCTCGTGTAAACCCTCCCGTGAAGATTTGAAGCTGTTGCAACGGCAAATGATGGGATGATGCTATTTTAAAAGTCTGAAGGTGAAAATGGGATGTGACTAAAACATGAAAGAGGCTAAACTTGAAGTAAATCAAGCAATTTGTAGTGATTCTTTAGGATGTGGACATTTTACTGAAATTCTCACTCGACACTGACGCGAAGAAAGCCTGAGAAGTGTTAATAAAAGTCTTTTGGTTGGTAGCAGAGTGGCTGTTTACCCTCAAACTGAAACCATCTGGCTCATCTCCGGCTCCTGCTGAGAAGCTGTCAGACTGCTGCTGGGAGGACTGGAAAAGACTGCTCTGTTGCTCGTCATCATCGTCTCCATCTTCATCGCTGTCTATGGCTGCGGTGTCCAGACTCAGTCTGAGAGCACAGCGAAGCAAACACAAAATGTCAAATAGAGCAGTTAGATATTTTAATGAGGCTCTCTGCATATTTTTTTTTAAAATAAAATATGCTATTTCACTTTTACTGAAATGACGCCATAAAAAAATGCTGCAATGGATTAAAGCGAAGGCCTGCATGTGGCTCTTTAGGACGTCAGCAGTGGCTGGTAAAACCAACAGCAATTACAAATAGCAGTTCCTTTTGCAGAATTTCTCAATATTTCTATTTTTAAACCGTTTCAACACAGTTTTCACAACAGGATGACGCCAATACATTATTTGTTTTTCCCTCACAACCAATAACATAAATAAAATAGTTTTTACCATTTAAGCACATTTTTACATTTGGTATTTCTGAAGTTAATCAGAACCGTAACTGTCCGTTTGTAGCTTTTGCAGTGCTGGATAAATAATACACAGACATGAGAGTGAAAATAGTTCTGTGGGTTTTAAAGTTTGCTGTTCTCTGGCCTAAACTGTCAAAGAGAGAAATCCTCATGTAGCATTAATGCTCACATCTAAGTTCAATTCGTAGTCAGAACACAGATTAGTTTGCAATGACTTATTAAGGTGAACTTTTTCTACCACCTATTGCTCATCTTACCTCCTGCCAGAGTTGAGGGGCGACAGAGGAACCCCCCAGCTGTGCCTCCGAGACGTTGACATGGATCTGACCAAAATCGGAAAGCTGTCCATGTCTGGCTCTCCATCCAGCTCCATTTTGCCCTGGTGCTTTACGTCGTCTAGTTCATCAACCGCTTTCACTGTTTCCAAGGATTCCAGCAGTCCATTTAAATTAAATGTCCAGTTCAGGGTGAGTGCAGAGGCAGTGAAGTCATCGCTGTCGGCGACACAACCTGGCAGCGGCTTTGGGCTGAGCTGGGCAGCAGAGTCAGAGGGAGGTTCATCTGCAAATTGCTCAAAGGAAGGAAATGATGTTGCATTGACCTGTAGGAAGTCTGTGGTCAGAGCTGTGGGCTGGTTTTTGGTCTGACTGTTTGTGTTTACAGGCTCCTGTAAGTTATCGGTTTGCCGTGCGTTGCTTTCTGGGAGTGCAGAGGTGTCTTTTGACGCTGCAGCCTGTGAGGCCGGCGACTCTCCCTGCAGGTCTTTGAAGTACTCTGAGTCCCTGAGGGAGGAACTGAGACCCTGCAGGTCCTCTAGGCTGCTGCCTGCGTCCACACAGGGACAGTCGTAGTCACTGACTACTGAGGATGCATCCTGGACGATCGCAAAGAGAGGAAGGAGACAAAATGATGTGAAAGGGGAGAACAAATTAATGCAATGTTTCACTGTCAATGGTGTGTTCAGGGTGACGTTAATCATTACTTTTTCTATGTAGAGAGCAAAAAAAAAAGCTTGATTTCGGTTACGAAGTCACCTTCCACAGCATTACTGAGCCTTTTGAAAACTTTAAATAGGACTACTGAAAGCTGTTTTTTTTTAAATATCAGCTTTATTTTTCATATTCTTTAAAGAGGAAATAAATGATAAACTAATGATTCATACATCTAGGTTGCTCCTGTAGAGTTGCTATGAACCTCTTCCCTGATTAAAGCTCATTCAATTTGCCCTCTGATACAGAGATATTATTTATTTTGTTTTTTATCAACACAATTACATAGCCTGTGAATTTGTTTACAGCAATAAAGTGATTCTGATTGTGATATCGAGCTCTTTTAAGGATGCCATGCTGTCGCTGTTGTTTTGGTATCATGAAGGCAAATTGCTCACCCCTCCTGCACTCAAAGCACATGCTTGCACCAGTATGTCATTAGTGGCATCTGCTTTGTGAACAGGACACTGAGCAAACTGCAGCAAGCACAAGTTTGCAAAGTTAGCAGATCACCGCTTCAGTTTCTGGAACTTAAGAAACTTGTATGAGCCGGAGAAAAGTTGAGGTTAGAGACTCTTTACCTGATCATCACTGGTGTTGTCACCATCCTCTGTGATGGAGGCCGGTGGTAGTGAGGAGGAAGATCCTTTCCCACTGGGTGCCTGGACGCTCAGCTGGGTACTGGGATTCCCACAGGACCGGCTACATGGCTTGCACTCGGATGCTGGACAACAAAGGCATTGATTTGTTTTTGTTTGTTTGGTTTTTTGGTTGTTGTTGAAAACAAACGTTTCTCTAAAAGTACAGCACAGTCAACGGCTCTCTAGAGAGATAAGGAGCCGGAGGGAAGGCAGACGGCTTGCTGAATGCATCAATCACGCAGCACCTGTGTAATCAGTCTGGACTGTGCTGTGCATGATGGATGAAACGCCCCGCTGCAGACCCCACTCCAGGCTCTTGTTGAAAGCTCCTTTACATTTCCATTACATAAACAGATTCCTCGATTCACATGACGCCGCAAGCCACCGTCACCAATAGCAACTTCTCAGAGGGTCAGTGTTATTTTACATGTCAGTGGTGGTGGAGAGCTCGATTTTATTCCTTTGCTCTGCAGTTTAAGAAGCGGTCCGTCTGTGGTAAATAACGGATCACGGTGTGCAGAGCATACATTTATATTAAAGTCGCCTCTACAAATCAGTGGCAGAGGACAAAAAAAGGTCAGTTTTTGACACTGATCAAAGCAGACATGTGGGTGTGTAATCCTGTTGCATTGTATCACGGGTTTCAGCCAATCTGAGGAGGGAGATCTATATTGCAGCTGACTGCATTATCCAGATTTCAAAAGACATTCCTCACTCTTCTTTAAGACCATCATTCAGTTTTAAAGAAGAGTGAATGAGTCATTCAGTCAGAATACTTTTAATCTGTCAAGTATTCTTCACAGTCCTCTGAAGTATTGGTCGCCAACGATTTCCCCTTTTGACCTGCTGGACTGTGATTAAAGTTAAATAGTTGAACACCAATGCATAAAACAATTTTATATTTTTATTTCGATTTTTATTTTATTTATTTATTTATTTTAAAACCTTCCACCTACCAAACCACTTTGCGTTTTGCCTGTTCCATAAAATCACAGTTAAACTCACAGAATCTTTTTGACTACATGTGAAAAACTATTAATATTTACGAGTCGCCATAAGTCCATCTGTGCTGAAACATATTATCTGGCTCTGTCTTTACTGCAGCAGCAGAATTACTCGTCTTGATACAACGAGCGTCAGGGTGCACCAACATCTTTCCTCAGTCATAACATCTATTAATAATCTTAACAAACCTGCTAAAATCAGCAGAGACCTACACTTGAGAACACATCGTACCATTATATGTACGTCTCTCAAACCTTGTGTGTACAACCTTAAAGGGTAAAGTTACTGTTTTAAACTTTATATCATGTCATAATGTTATTCCCTCATCAAAACGTGGACGGCTGTTTTGATTCTTCCACGCATGTTTGAGAAACCCCTGATTCGGACATGGTTACTTGATTGCGCTATAAAATGGACAACACCACGCCTTCAATACACAATGAAAACAACAAGAACAACATTATATATCTCTAAATAATTCTAACAAGTTAAAGAAAAGACCATGAAGTCTAATCAGGAATGTTTAAATATAATCATGTTGACATTTTTGGCTACCCAGGGGACACATTTCAAGATGTTTTCTAAGTGAATTGAGATGTGGGACTTCAGTTATTTTAATTTATTTATAACTTGGCACTTAAATTCCTTCAAAAAAAAATAATCTAAAGTTAGACAAATAATTTTCACAGCTTCATCTGTTGCTTGAGTCTAAATTTGTTAGCCTTACAACAGAATTCTTGTAATGTTTCTATTTTTTGTTATTATAATTTATACATGGTAGACAATTTGGAAAAAACGCAAATAATTTGCGTTTTTTCATGGCGAAAAACGGATTTGCTGCAGCTGTGAGTGAGAGGCTGAAGCTACCAGTGAAAGAGTGGCTGAACCAAATAAACAGTCCAAGAAAAACAGAGGCCCGGGAGAAACCAAACAGAACATAAAAACCAAGACATAGGAACACCAAACCAAAACACGAATTTACTAAACATACAAAACCGACACGGGGTGACAAGACTGATTTCCAGAGCAACAAATCAAACCAAAGTCTTACAAAGAGGTTCCAGGTTTTCTGGGCGCCCCTGTGCCCTCATTCAAACCAAAAAGAAACAAAAGCTACAAGGAATCGTTTGTTCTGCGCACCAAATTATTTATTTTGATTCCTAAGCTCACGTAGCAAAACAACAGGCCGAGTCTCGCACCCTGTTTTGTTATCGGCCTGCAGAATCCACTGTGGTCTTCCTCCTGACAGCCCGAGATGCTCCTGTGTAAACACACACACTGTAGATACAGTTCTCCATATTACTAAAACATCGGCCGAGGCAGCAGGGGTGGCAGCATCCTCCCCGGAGGGAGAATTAGCCTGTGTCCAAATCCTTCTTGTGTTAAGTGTAAACTCAGAGGAGACTCTGCAGCAGCCGCTCAATGCTGGGCTGCAGAGTCGCTGTGGCCTTTTATGGTTGGCCTTTCATTTCTTCTCAGACATGACAAAACAATGAAACATCAGTGCACTGCTGTGTGTGCACATACACTCAGGTTTAAAATGCTTTTTCTTTTTTTTCTTTTTTATTAAATCAGACTCAGGTTGTTTTTCAGAGTTTGGCTCCCTGTGAAAAAGGGAGGTCTCACTCTGCAGCAAAAAAAAAAAAAAAAAAAAGATTAAAAATGGGTAACTCGTGTAAAAATGTCAACATGTGAAATGTGCTGCAAGCAGCTTGATGCTTTATATGCTCGAAAGTGTGCATGAAGAACTATTTAACACTACTGAAGTAGACTCGGCATAAAACTTAACACAACTGCTTTTATTCATAGTCACTGAGTAGTGTGTTCGGTAAACAAGGCATTCGTCATGTATCGTGTTGAACTAAAAGTTGTTTAAACAGGAATCTGTAAGCAATAAACAACTCCAATCACTGGTTGAACAATTTCTGCCAACATATGTTAAGTCATTATAAATTTGAACGCTGCAAAATCATTTACTTTTGAATGTAGACATATGCATCTCAGCAAATTTGAATATAATTTAAAAGTTCATTTACATCAGTAATTCAATTGAAAATGTGAAACTCGGTGAATTGATTTAACACACTCAGTCTGGGATATTTCAAGAGTTTCATGACTGTGACTTCAGTCAATTCAATCCCAACATTAAAGTAAATATTACTTTAAGCTAATAGAAAATTACATATTTCAGAAATGCTCCACTACTAAAAGCAAATGTCCGGTGTCTGTGGTTAATATTTAGTTGGGGTTTGTTTTACACGAATTACTGCATCGTTGCAGCGTGGCAGGGGGGTGATCCGCCTGTGTCATCTTCCTCTTTATAGTAAAGTAAAGCACGTTACGGTGCTTTAGTGGTGTGGGCAAGTAAAAAAAAAAAAATAGATTCATCATCTTCATATAAAACTTGTCAATAGAGGGAAGTATGAAGTGACCTGATGACTTCTGACTTCCTAACACACAGTATGCCAACACTAACAGATGACATTATTCATTTTAAATTCAAGTCATGTTATTTTAACAGAAAATCAGTGACTAAATGAAACTGAGCTCTGTGCTGCAGCCGCTCCACTCTTCCTCCAGACTCTGAGATCTTGGTTTGCAACTAAAAGGCAAAATTCACCTTCATCTGAAAAGAGCACCGAGCAATAGTCCATCGCCTCTTTCTTTGAGCTTCTGATATTCTCTCTGGTTTAGAAGTGGCTAAAAACAAACAGCTGCAACAGCTGTGACCCAATATGTCTTCTTGTTGTGACTCTTCACCGACTCTGGCCTCAGTCCATGCGTTGCGAATCTCTTCCTAACTCTAAGATGACTTTTTTTTTTTTATAATCCTCTTGAATCTGTACCACACTTTTTCCTTCCGCTCAACTTTGCAATAAAGTACATGGATAAAGCTCTCTGTAGAGCCTTACCCATGATTATGAGGGCCACATCATGACTTTAACAGAACATATATGTGTTAAACACCCTTTTTTTATCAGTTTTATGTAATATTAAATTTTTTTGGGAAACTTAGTTTTGAGCTTTATTCATCTGTAAGCCGTAATCATCAAAATCTACAGAAATAAACACATGAGATGTTTTAGCAGAATAAAATACCTAAATCGCCTCCTACACTTCATCAAAAAAAAAAAAAAAAAAATATTTTGATGTCCTTTTTTTCCTTAAAGGGGATGTTCAGCAAAAGATGTGGAAGGAAATAAAAGCACATGTTTACCCACACAGTTCGGTGCTACTGAGCGCTACATGATAATCACAAGAGGAACCCAGGCCACGGTCAGGTGATTTAATTTAGTCAGGCTGCACATGTCGAGCCGTTTCCCACAGATGTATGGCTCACAAATGGTGACGGCTTTCAGGTCAGGTCATTCTGACGAGACAAAAACAAAGCCCCAGACGTCAAGCATGTTTTTAGACTGCCCTTTCTGGGACAGCATGAACGAGTTTTAGGTTGTGGTGACCAACCTAAAACTGGTCACCACTTCATTTCTCGCTTCATGAGAAATGAAGAGAGGTTCATTTCTCATGGTGCACGACGGATGCTACTTGCAGATAAAAAACAAAAAAAAACCCCAAAAAACAGAGGTGTCAGATCAGAGCATGAAGCGCACATCAAAAACAGCCGTCCTCATCTTTTTGATCAGAAAATTCATTGCCGTTTGAAAGTGCCAAGCTGCACAGAAGCGAAAGGGAAGCACGAGCAAGAACAGGGGCTGCTGCGTGTGTTGCAGAGCACCTTGGACGTTGACCACAAAAGGTCAAACGCAGCTCTGCAGACACAAGGTGGCACTTCACAGACGAATAATCACAGTTTCTGTTTTGGTTGAACAATGCATTTCGGCACTCTCGCTGTTCAACAAAATGCACTCTTCACTCTTTCACCAACTTTGATCTGAAAGACTCCAACCGTCATTCACCGCAAACCACAATCAGGTCACAATGACATTCAGCATGTCACGTTAAAAGAACTGAATGGGGCTCAGAGGAGAAAAGCGAGACGGTTTCCACCAGCTCGAGTGGGTCGCAGACGGCTTGACACTAAAGCTGAACCTGGAAGCAAGATTACCTCTCTTGAAGGACCATCTCTTCATCCAGAGCTTGGAGAAAGACGGCCAGGAGTGGTTAAGAGGAGAGTCAGCCATCGGAGCAGAGCAGAGGCCAGTTTGAACTGGAGTTTGATCACACTGGTGCTGTGGCACCCAGTGCAAGGAGGAGGGAAGCTGAGTGGAGGGAGGGGAGTCAGAAGGCTGGGGATTACCTCCAGCAGCAACACAGAAGAACTGCACAGCAAAAAATGTTCAAAGAGAAACAATAGTGGGAGTACTGGAGTTGAAAAACGCAAGTGAGAATTCCTAAAAACTGTCATTTTTCTTAGAAGTTTTTCTTTCCTTTAGTTTTTTTTTTTGTTTTTGTTTTTTTAATCAGCATACAAGTATATGAAACAATTTAGACAAAATAAATGCTGATTATTATAATTACAGCCGACAGCAGAGAGAGTAACAAAAAAAGAAAAAGGGGAAATGCATAAAAGTTCACCAGATGGTTAGACGCAAGTTAAATTATTAAAATGGCGCTTCTGACTCCACCAGAGCGGCTCACATATGTGCCTGGTTTTGGGAAATAGGGCAGATACAAAAAAAGAGAAGGAAGTGGATGCAATGACAGCAACAGAGCAATGAAACTGTTTCTTTTTGACTCACAGAAGAACACGCCAACGCGTCTGCTCTGAAATAATTATGAATGTTTTAAGGGACTTACTGTACACAAAAAAAGGACACAGTTTGTCCATTTTTGCAGCAGTTTTGGTTTAATCTTAGCACAACTGGAGCCACAATAAAGTAGATCACAGTGCATATAGTTCACGACTTCCCCGAGTGTTTTGCATTTGAGAAAAACAGAACACAGGCACAAAGACGGACGACATAGACACCACTGCCTTGTTTGGAGGTGGATTAGAACAAGACTGTGTTTCACACAGAGCATCAGCACAAAAAAACAAGCTGTTACTGAGGAGGATTTTACTTGAGAACCGGCAGAAGTTTCTGCTAAAACGAACCAGTCTCTACTCACATTGGGTGAAACAGAGGCGACTTCTCATCAGTTCTTGTCCTTAAAGGTGGAAAAAAAAAGCTCCGGCAAAGAGGACTAAAATCCTTCGAGTTTGAGTGTGAGTGTGTTCCTCTGGTTCTCAGACTGAGAGTAAAAAGACAACCAACTGCTTCCTCTTTTCCCCCGTCATTCTGTGCAGTAAGGCGAATAGTTTCACACATCACTACAGCTGTGAAACAAGTGATGGCAGCTGACACTCTAAAGAGCAGCCCACAACGCTGCTCTGCAGGTCAAAAGACAGACTATGCAGAAAACCAGGTGTAGTGTTGCCACTAAACCTCTCTTCTGTGTGTGCACAACAACTCAAACTGCTTCATCGATGTTTAAACAAAACGTCACACTCACAGTAAAGACTTACTGCATCACTCTTGATGCTCTGGGTTGCAAGATTCTCTCACTCGCTGTCACATTTTGTGGCTTCATGCAAACTTGCAGAGTCCTTAGAAACTGATTTAAACACTCACTTGGATTTTGTCATTTTAAAAACTACATGCATTGATCAGAATGACTGGCTTTACAAAGAGTCAGCTCAAATGTATTTTGTCACAGTTCTTGTATATGAATGATCATGAGAGCATGCTTTGAAAAGAATCTATCTGCTTAAAAAAAATTATCCAGAGAAGAGGAGCGCGGTTTAAAAGGTCAAAAAGGGTTTTACCGAGTGGGAAAATAGAAATCCAGCACAGATCTAAAAGTTCATCCTTTCGTTCATAATCTATTCCTACTAAATATGCAAATCACCTTTGAGATTTAATTTCACCTGAGAAGACAAAAATAAAATCTCTCTATGCCTAAATAGCTCGAAGAACTTGGAGCCAAAATAGCCTTTGAGACTTGATGACTGAGTTCACTTGCAAAGATTGGATAAATTATGCTTCCTTCGAGGCAAAAAAGTAATAAATAAATAAATATTAAAAGTTGTTTAAAATTGGGGTCGACTTAAAACTTCTGAAAAGTGCATAAATTAAGGAAAAGTTTTTTTTGTTTGTTTATTCAAAATAAATTACAGGATCCTCAATATTGTTGTCACTAGTTTCATATCAAAGTTTTAAAAAATGCCTCCATGAATTATTCTTTTGAATTACATGGAGTTACATTTATTGACATTTCAACTTAGATGACACAACAAATCCCTTAATTTTTTGTTTCTTTAGTAGAGGAACTGTTTCATGATTCCTGCCCTGTGAGTCCTGTCACGGAAATTAAATGTTTCACTTCTGATGTGCCTCAGTTTTCTTGTAATGTCTGTAAACTGTGGCAAAGGTTGTAAAGAAAAGCTTAAATTAATCACACCATTCAGGTTAGTTTTGTAATAATATCAAAGTTTCATGTCATTTTTCGCCACACTTACTTATTGGCTGACCATCTGGGCAGGAAAGTTCACAGTCTATCAGCGCACCAAATGGACATATCTGAAAAAAAATAAAATCAAAAAGTCGGTCAGGCTAGCATCAGCTGGAGCTACTTCAAGCATTCGGCATGCCGAAGTGAGTCTGTAATCATCAGTACAGACACGGTGTCTGCATAGCACATTTTGAGATGAAGTAATCTTACTAATGAGTCACTGCGGCTAAGTGTGAACAACACTTGCGTCAATGTGGGGAGTTGGATATGTGCAGTTTATATTGCATCTCTACGTTGAGAATCGTTTAGACAGGAGTTTTTCAAACCAATAAAATAAAAAAAATAAAAAAACATTTGCTCCAGCCTGACATCTGGAGATCACATAGTCTGTATTAAACTCATTAATATGATGGAGAGCTGTTTAGTTTAGGCAGATCTTCCCGGGTCTGATCTTCGTAAATCAAATGGTTTAAGTCGTTCTACAGCATACAAGTCCTACAGAGTCCATAATAATAATAAATCAGGTATGTGATTCAGTTGTGCTGAAGCGCAGATGGATCTAGACGCTGCAACACACCGACCAATGAGGACTAGATGAAGTAGAGTACCAGCTGGAACAGAAGCTGGAAGGTTTTTCCTCACTCCTCAGATGTTTGAGGGGTTTCTTGAATCTACATCGCACAAATCACCTCACACCATCTCGATAAGATCACAATCTTGGCTTTGACTCTGCTTAAAGGACTGTCCATTTCTTAATTCTCAGCCAGTCTTTGGCGGAGTCACTGTTACGTGATTGCCCTCTGATATACGACAGATTTCATGGTGGCTTTTATGATGGTGAGGTGGGCACGTCCTGCCACTCAAAGCAACAAATGGCTGCTGTGCCGGATGAACTTATATGTCCAAACATTCTTCGTTCTGTCTAGCAAGCATCAGTCTGGACTTTATGTTTTCTTTGAGAGTAAAGGTTGAACATCTTCCATTAACGTTAGATCTGTGCAGTCTCTTTCTGATTGTACAGACAATTACATCAACAGTAGCAACAGCATGCTGTGATTCAATCTGAGGTTGATGGAGACTTCAGTATAGTAGTCAGACCTGAGCAGTTCGCTGCTTTGAATGTCTTCTCCTTGTATAATTATTCACAAGAATGTTTCGGTCTTTTATGTAGCTGTTATTGATGACTTTATGTTACATGAATATCCAGTTGTTTCACACTGTAAACGTTACAGTGTCATTTTAGTGCATATATCAAAATGTTTGAATTTTACAATTAAGAACAATGCATTTGCAGAACTAAAGTAATTCCAGCTTGTTTCTGATGTCAAAACATTAAGAGTATAAAAAGTTCATCAATGACTCAGTGTAGCAGCTCCTCCCATTGTCAGCCACTTTGCCCTGGTAAAACTCCCACATATTGTCAGTCATCATCCACAGACTCGATTTCACTCTGAACTTCACCGAAATGAACGAGTTGTTAACAGGTTTGGGCTGAACGGGGTCGTATGGGTCATCTAGGGGTCTGTTGAATCTGGTGCGTCAGAAGAACAAACCTCTTGAGTCATGAAGTCAAACCATTTAAAAAGCTAAAGATATTTGCCGAAGCCTGATTCAGAAGCTGTATAAGGATATACTTCTCTTGAAGAAAAACACTCAAATAATTATTTTTTATCTATTTAAGTTGTCCTATAACAGAGTGGTGAACTGTTCACAATGGATCCTGCTTGGTTTTATTTCCAACATTTGTTATTTGAATTTCACGTGAAACGCCAACACCAACACTTAACTATGAAATAGAAGGAACATTTATGATTTTCACCTACATGTAAAACAAAAATAATCCAAAAATCTTTGTGGAATAGTAATCAACTTCCTTTGTTTGACCATTTTTGACAATTCCAGCTGCAAGTCGTTTTTTTAGACCATTTTTTCCCCCAACCCTGATCCTCAAAGCACACTGCCCCATGTGTTTTAGTTGTTGCTGCTTCAGCACAGCTAACTTCAATTTCTGGCTAACAGACTTTTCCTAAACAGCAATAATCTAAATCAGCTGTTAAAGCAGGGAAACATCTAAAACCTGCAGACCAGTGTTTGAAGCGTCTCTACCAGCGTCGTGCTGATATTAGCCCATTCATTTTAGGAAAAATATCTCAGACTGGATGAGGAGTCTGAACATCAAGTCTTTTTTTTTTTATCACATTCCCAATATAGATGAAAAGGAAGAAAGTAATGCACACAACATTAAAATCTTGGCTGGGGAAAGTTCTGAAGTTCTGAAAATGGGAAATAACAGCGCTCCAATAACATACAAATGTTTTAATTTTTTAATTACCCCTTAATAGTACTTTTGTGCGTTGCTGGAGTGCTGTTTATTCCCATTTTTATGTAATTCTTGTGAAGCTCTGGTTTTAAGTTTCACTTTTATTTTCTCCACAAACGGAGCGTTGAAGTAGAGCTGCTTTATTTATAACCTCGATGCATCATCTAAGTTGACTTTTAGCTTAACTTCTTTCCAACGACGTAAAACGTTTTGAGACGCATCAGAAATTCATTCATATAGAATCCGATTATTTCACGTCATCGAACTTGATCAAAACCGCAATATCTGGATGAAAGGAATGTCTGAGAGGAACTACAAAAACGGAATGAGGCGTCATAAAAAAGGGACAAGTAACCTGTCATCACTTCAGACTCGCAGGATCAGACACAACAGAAGACGACCCAAGTCACACACAGACAGATCATCACTGAACAAGAGTCAGGTGTGCAGATTCATAAAGCAAACTTCTGGAGGAAGCAGAAGAGCTGAAAACATGAAAGGTGGATGAAAACAAACAAGCCGACTGAATCCAAATTGATACAAACCCAGCGCAGAGATACTCACCCCTCGGATGTAAAGAAGGAAAGGAAACAACCCGGTGCATTAGCTGAACTTATTGGTTTTCATTTAGCCACAGCACCAAGAGGTGAGAATGATATGAAGCCCTCATTAGTGCAGATGTTGTCATATATTTGTGATAGTTGTGGGAACCTTCAGTTTCAGGCAAAAACATTACTCATTACTTTATATTTTTAGTTTTGTTTACTTTTTCATTCATATTTCATCCATTCCTTGTGCCTAACCTGATGCGTGTTTTTTTGTTTGTTCTTTGGTCCTGTGATGAAATGGTGATTCTACTGTGGGTCATTCCTTGCTGATTGGGCGCTAGCGCCCCCCAAAGGACTAGTCAGGTATAACAAATTAAAAGATCACATGGGAATCAGAGGCTTTGAAAAAAGTGCTAAAACTTAATATGTATATAAATATATCAAGAAATAATCATTAGCCCAAAATAAGGTTACAATTTTAATAAAATTTAAACAGGTATCTATATTTATCAATAAATTAAGAATTACGTGTGCTACCTCATATTTGAAGTCATTGTATATAAACTTAAATAATTTAAACTGTTACTAAATGTAACCCTGAAGTAACAACAATATGAAATAATTATATGCATTTTTGTAAAATTGTTTTTACAAAATTTAAATGTATTACATTTATTATGAGCATTTTAATAGCGGGTTATCGATTTTGGCTTCTTTCTATGAGACCTATTTTCTTCTTTTAAAACCCAAAACAGCAAATAAAATGTGTTGTAGTTCTTTCAAAAATATAAATAACATGTTTACATAGAGCGCATCTGTATAACTTTGAGGTTCAGAAAGGTTTCATGATTTCAAACCAGGACGTTTTGCGGGAGGAAAATGCCTCTGCGGATTCTGATCGTTGTTGGAACCAGATCTATGAGTTTGTATCTGAAAAGGCCCCACACAGTTTCATGGAACAAAGGACTGCAAGCGGACACATATTCTCCAATAATTTTATTCATAATTTTAATATAAACAGTTAATTGTTGAATAATTTACACACAGCTAGATTTTCTTATTTTCATATCATTGCAACATTTTCTTTGCATGTCACTACTTGGCTCTCCGTTTGAAAACGTATAGAAAAAATAAATTGTCAAGCGTTCTTTTAGTCATGGCACAATTTTTTGATCCTGTTCAATGAGCATTTATCTCTGCGTTTTATGCGTGTGAACGAGAGGAACTCCAACATGTTTGCTGTCTGTGGTACACAAACGCAGATCATGGCACATCTGGATCCAGTGTGAGGTGAGAAGGAGGGGTGGGGGTGGGGGGTAAAGCGACCTCTGTGGGGGGGGGTTGGACTGTACAAACACACATTTACACCCACTGTCTGCAGTCACGACAACTTCTCATCATAATGTATACACATGTTCCAAAAATGAACACATCCGCAATAAAATGTACATTAATAAAGAGGTATCCTGCTGGACTACACACAGAAATCTGGGAAACCACCTATGTGCACCGAGAGAAGACACTTAAGAGACAGAGAGGATGAAGAGGAGCAGCCAGACAACAACAAAAACAGAAGGTTTCTAACCTGGAGCAGACCACCGGCTCGATTCAACGCTATGAAGAGGCTCCATTTACAATCATTTATCTGAGATCAGTTTGAATTTATAAATTAAAATGAAACTGTGGAGGATTTAGTCAGAGCACACACACACACACACACACACACACACACATATATATATATATATATAAAAACTTGGGTAGATTTATGGAGCTGGAGTGAGGTGAGGCCCTGCTAAAAAATAAAGATTTGAATAAAAGCCTCTAGAAAAACAAATCGTGCTGAAAATCCTTGCAAATATGTGGAAGGTACATGGAACAAATGTACTTTGTAAAATTAGGAGAGAAAAACAAAAAAAGTAAACTGTAATCTCACATTTTACCACTAGATGGCACTCCACTCATTTCACCTTTGCTTAATTGAATAAACAGGGCAATTCACAAGGTTAAGAAGTAATCATCCATCATCTCAGAAGAAAAAAAAACTTTTTTTTTAGGATCTGTAAACTGATGACTAAATTTTGATAAGAGGAAGTAGATCTGCTAAATAGAAATAATTTGAACAGGCTTTTACCAAACTCAAACATTTCAATCTTTGCAAGACGAAACACCTCCAGACTTTCAGAGAGCTGAACTCTTTCTCAAAAGCACGAATTAACTTTTCTTTTCTTTTTTTTTATAGCTTATTCTGGATCTCATCCCAGAATTCCTCCTCGACGTTCACGAGCAGTGGTCTTCTCCAGCTTTTCTCCAAATTTCAAGTAAAAACGTTTTATATAGACAAGTTAAAAAGCAGGAGACATATCGGTGAGAGAAGAGAAGGCTTCTTGGTCGACATGCTGCTTCCACCGAGGTTCGGTTTCAAAGAGTGGGGCCTGAGCGGCCGACATTCACAACACTAGCGTGGGATTATGGGAAGCGAAAAGTCTGAGGCCACATCCTGTTTAACTTGTCCTCAGACTAGAAAGCTGCTGCTCCTCCGAATTAAACACACAAACAGACGAGGGCATGTTTCTGTGCGGTGGGTCGGGTCATAAAAACAATAAAAAGAAGAAAAATCAATAATCTTAAATTTAGAAAAAAGATATATACACACACATCAATAACATTAAATTCATCATGTACAAGAGTAGGAAAACTTTACAGTCAGAAAAAAGTATTGTATTTATCCTCCCCTACTTTGGCTAAAAAAATAGAAATCAACATCTCTATAATGTAATACTTTTATATCTGCATAAAACAAAAAACAATAAACCATAATCTGCTTTGTTCTCAACCCAAGAGTTTAGTGAACCTTCCCTAAAACCAAGTGCTTCTCTTTATTTCCATTTTTCTGGACAGATGACATTGGCTGCTATTTACAGTTTGACGAGCTTATTATAATTGTAGAGATTTCCAAATGATACGCTTTTGTTGTTTTGTTTTGGTGTGTGTGCTTTTGGGCTGGGCCTCCCACTGGTAACAGACGGATCGGAGACAGACATCAAACCATCAAGCTGGTGCACATTTCTCATCCAATCAACAAAGCAGGCTGGAGCTCAGCAGAGTAGAGTTCATCAGCTTTTCTTTTGTTTTCTTCTTAGTCACAAATTACAGAATGTATTTGCTTTTTTTTCTGCATTTACAGCCAAAAGGAAAAAGAAATAGAATGCGTAAAAAAAACAACATGTTTTTATTTAATGCTTGGAGATGGAAAATCTTGTGTGATTGTGGGAGACAGGTCAGTTGGGGGGGGGGAACAGTTCGAGTCAAGGTGTGCCAATAATCTTAAGAAGGCACTGCAATGCCCCCTGTGAGCCACTAGAGGGCAGTGTGAACCACATCACATCAGAGCCACAGAGACGAGGATTCCTGATTATCTTTAATTGACTTGGAGTAGATAAAAAGGTAGGTAGCTCTTCCTCCTCCTCTTTATGCTCTTGAGGCAAAGCATTGAGCCGCCTCCCTGAGACGGAAATTTACAATCAAGATTTTAAATCTGTTAAAAGTTTTTGTTTATGGCACACAGGATTGTCCCCGTCAGCTTGTTCTCCTCCGCAGCAGCAGGGGAAAAGGTTCTGCTTAACCCGGCCCGCACTTCTGTGTCGTGAACAGACCACCCACCGTATCCATGGCGATAACAGAAAATAAAAGGTCATCTCTTGATATTCACAGTTGAGAAAAAAAAAACATACACAGACGACAAAAATCAGACTCAAGACAAGAGGAGGATGAATGCGGGAAAGGTCGTTTTACAGAGCGCAAGGTCCGTGACTGAGCTTCGTTAGCTTTGGCTGCAAACAGGTCATGACAGAGACACTCAGGATCTGCTGTGAAATCATCAGATGTGAGCAGAGAGAAGGAGCGTGGAGGTCATCCACCTCCTCCTGTGGCTGCGGAGCGGGAGGAGGAGCCGCTCACCAAGCTCCAAGGTTCGTGTTTAACTCAAAATAACGCAAGGCTTCCCCCTGACACAAGACGAAGCAATAACTAAGGGTATATGAAAGAAGGCAAGGGAGAGTTAACACCGTGTGTGTGTGTGAAATGTGGGATTAGGTGATTTTTCTCTGTAGTGACGCTGAGCAGGCAGTGGGGATGATTGAGGCTCTTTGAACGGTTTCCTCCTCCTGCGCTGAGGTAGACTCCGGCCAAACACGAAGACGACGAAGACGACTACTTACAAACTACTAACAGAGCTGCTCACAGCCAGCTCCTGCACCCAGAACCTCACCGACGCTCAATCAAAGCAAGAAAGTGTGTGCAGTTCGAAATAAATAGTTGCTTTTTTCCAAAAAAGACTGTCAAAGATAAGTTAACATTTGCATATGGAGATGAGACCAGAGACCATGCTACACACTAGCGCGTGCTGTAGTGTGACAGTGTTGGAAACCTTAAGCATAATTGGTAGAATATTCTAAATGTCTCTTCATACGTCAGAGTTGTGTGGTTTAATATCGTTTGTTGCCCATTTATATCTCAAGCATGGAGCTGGTAAGGCAAGTATGGAGCTCAAGACTTTACATCCTTGGCATTACTGTTCAACAATTCAGACACAGACGAATTTGTTGGTTAAATCTGATACATGTGTGTGAAAAACAAAAAGCCTTAAAATAAAGTCCTGCTTTTTGTTGCTGCAGCAGAATCTCACAGAAGAAATCCAACAGATACATAAGAAATAATCATTTTATATACAATCTGGAGAATCTCTTTGTCTTATGCGTGCTTAAGATTTAAATAAACTTATAGTTAGTATGATGGCGGTAATAAAAAGTTCACTGGGAATTGTGGGGATACGTGACCTCCTGGTTTTGCCAGTCTCCATAGCAACCATTAAATGCTATCCACACGCCAAGTGGTCGGTGAAGAGATTCAGCCTTTCTGTAAAAACGTCACAAACTGTGTGGAGTTCGTTAAACTCTTCTGGGAATCGTGTGCGTTGGCCAAATTAGACTAAAACCTTAGAAAAATAACTTCATGTCCACCGTAAAGAGGAGGATCTGTGATGCTGCGGGCCAATTAGTCCTTAACTGTTCCTGGTGACGCGGCTAGCAAAGATTTCAGCAAAACGCTGGTGGACTGTATCAATAATCTGTCTTCCAGCAGGAAAAATGTCCAAAACAATTTACTAGCTTCCAAATTAACATAAAAATGTTTCCCCGCACAAAATCAAGCGAGTAAATGTACTGCTGTTGATTTTTCTTGAACTAAATAACTGTAAAGGCCCAAAATATTCATAGTGAGACGAGGCTACTGCAACACAGAAACAACTGATTTTAAGGCTAGTCACACATATTTTCCAATTGTACCAACAAATTTGTCCCCTTCTGCCAACCGTAACCTCAGACGACTCCAGGTGGCAACGATTCAGACCCTGGTCTGTCCACACTGACCCAAACGCGACTCCCCGTGTCAAAGAACATATCCGAAACCTTTCGCTTTTCTTGTAACGTAAAAAAAAAAAAAAAAAACAACAGCGAGTGCACCGGGAGCGGTTTCCTGCGCGTTACATCAGCCTCATGCGAGGCTCTGGTTTTGTTGGAGAGAAAAAAAATTATTTAAAAAAAGGCACTGGTGAGAGATGGAGGCAGCTTCTCTGCGATCTCTGACTTTGGCCACCCTTTAAAAGATGAACGCAGCTGGCTCGACGATCACAGTATCTGTGTCCTCGAAGAAAAGGATTAGAGAAAAATGCCATTTGAGAGAAACGAGTTTCCTCACCATCTGCTCTGAATGGAAATCTTTTTAGCTCATTCGTTGGCGCCGTTGACAGGAACGTTTTAGATTTATGGGGTGAAAAGTGAGCGTTTGTCTTATTAAAAAAAAAAAAAAAAACAGGTGGCCAAAGAGGAACACGGCAAAACAGCCCAACGTAACAGGATTTTGAGGGGAGTGGGGAGTTTTGACAAAAATCCTGGAATGTCAGTCCTGAGCGAGAAAGCTGCTGCACGCCGTGCTCTGACTGCATGTGATGGCAAGGAGGAGAAAAGGATTAACAATCTTCTCATGACCCCCCCCCCCCCTCTCCCCAAACCCACCACCCGGTGTGCTGAACAGAGAGCAGGACTGCTGGCTGTGAATACGTTTGGAACTTTCTGCATCTCTCTGCAGCCCTCGGCCAGGAAAACGTGGAAATTTCCACCAGACCTCTTTGGAGAGGAGAGTTCAGCGGCCGGCAGGAAGCTGCGGAGGAAGCGACGGCGGCGCAGGAGCAATGAGCTGTGGGAGATTTATCAATCCTCGACTTTGATGGAGAAACTCTCCCTGATTTAAATCCCAAACATCGTCCACTTCGTCCTGCCTTCTTACAAGCCCTAACCCAGACGAAACTTGAACTAAAACACCGAAAGTTGCATAATTTCCACATCAAATATTTTGCAACTGAATTTAGTTTCTTTCTTTTTTTTTTTTTTTTCGCCAACACCAAAAGCCAAACATATCAAAAGGCAAACTGTGATGCGACCAGAGAAAACGGCAGACGAACACGTACCAGGAGCACTTTGACCCTATAAAGGCCTCAATCCCCCATTTGTAAAGCTTTTCAATTGTTTCTCCAGTAGTAAAGTTGCCTCCAGAAATGGGAAATCCCCCCCAAGATAGTAAAAAAAAATATAGAATAAGAAATAATCAAGGGCTGGATGCCTAAGACACAGAGAGCACTGACGGTAGATTAGTGTAACTTCTGGGGCTAAAAAAAAAACTAAATAATTATTAAAAAAGAAGAAAAAGACATTAAAACACAAGCAAAGCATCGGATGAACACAAATATCAACTACAGTATTTACAAAACCAAAACCCCATCAATGTTATACAGTATATTATATATAAAACATTGGCTTAGAAAGGCCATTATTTTATATATATATTATATATATATATTTATATATTTCTAAACCCACTATAACATATCAAAGCAGCAGCTATTGGTCAGTCTGATGAACTCTTTTGTCCAAATTTTAACTGTTTAAATATCCTTCAGCCACAAAGTGAGGACACAGAAACAAAAAGAGGAGGGAAAGAAAACCAATAAATTAAAACTATTCACCAAACACCAGATAAATCTGTGTGCAGTTCGGAATTTTGCAGAACCAAAACATAAAGAAAAAGAGACGAAAGAAAATGTTCCTCCAGGAATAAATGTTTGTTCTAAGATCAATTCATCCCACCGATTAAGTCATCGTACAAAAAAAAAAAAAAGGAATTTACTTAGACATGATTCTTTAGTTTATAGGCCACGCTTTTTAAAAAAAAGGCCACCATCAGAGTAAAAAGATTTGGAGAAACAAAAAAAGTTAAAAGCACAGAAGTGTGGAAAATGCAGTTCGGCAGGAGGGTGGTGGGGAAGGTCGAGCAGCCTTCTTGGTTATCTAAGGTTTTGTTGTGTTCACAGTTTTGATTTTTTTTTTTTTTTCCCCGTTTCTTTTTGTTTTATTATTGTTTCCGTCACAAGGAGTCCTGGAAACACGTTTTTAATCTATTACCGCAAACCTGGGTAATGTGAAGTCTGATGTGTCGTGGAGCAAGTTAAAAAGAGGCGTTTGCATCCCTTGCTTGCCTTGGTTTGGCAGCCGTGAGGAAGAAAATTCAAAGTCCTGAGATCCGTGTCTTTTTTTTTTTTTCTTTGTCGTTTTTTTTTTTGTTGAAGAGTTTCTCTAAGAGTAAGAAAATCGTTAGAAAATGGTTGCAGGGTACAGAAAAATGGACTGAAAGACGGGAGGTGTGGGGGCGAGGGAAGTGTTGCTAAGTCTTTTCGGGGGGCAGGAGGTGTTAGGAAGGACTCGATCTGGGCAACGACAGGATTCTCCCGTTTTTCTTGCCACCGTTCATGTGTGTGTAGGGGACATGCTCCTCGTAGTTCCCCCTGAGGGCCACCGAGGGCCCGCTGTCTCTGCTTAAGCTCTCCTCCCTCTGGGAATAAGACGACGGGTCCAGGGGGATGCTCTCCATGTTGTCCAGGTCCAGGTCGAAGTCCTCCGTCTCGGGGACTTTGTTCTCCTCGCTGTAGAAGAAGGAGACCTCCTGGAAGGTCGGGTGAAGGTCGTCCCGCAGCATCTCGATGATCTCCAGGAACGTCGGCCGCATCTTGGGGTTGTACTGCCAGCACATCTGCATCAGGCTGTGCCTGGTTTGTGAGACACGAAACCGGATTAACAAAAAAATCACACCTCAAAAAAAAAAAGTTTTACAAAATTATTCATACATGTTGAAGTTTTGTCCAATTTAGGATAATTAAGACACACAGACATAACGCAACTAGCTTGATGCACGAGCTTTATAAGTCATAGTAAAGAAATTAAAATCAGAATTACTTCATGGACAAGAGAATTATTGCTAAGACTCTGTTTACTTTTACTAGAAAGGAAAAACAATCTCTATTTACATCCTCTCGGGGCAGTTGTCGGGTCGGTCCAGGAACCCTCCGTCCATCACAAACTTCAGGACCTGCTCATTGGACAAGCCCTGGTAAGGCTGCTCTGCTAGCGTGCTGATTTCCCACAGCACGACCCCAAACGACCTGCAAACAACCGAGCCACACAAACATGACTAAAGGCTTGTTTTCAGGACGGCGTCGGTGCGGGGGGGGGGGGCTGAGGCGTGACGTACCAGCAGTCGGAGTGGCCGGTGAACACGCCGTCTTTCAGAGACTCCGGAGCCATCCACCGGACAGGAAGCAGGCCCTTTCCTCCTTTGCGGTAGTAGTCTGTCTCGTAAATGTCCCGCGTCATTCCGAAGTCTGGGTGGGAGGCAAATAACGAGTCAGCATGCAGGAAAATCCGCTCACGCTCGCTGGGCTTACAGTGGGGGGGAAAAAAATCACGAAAAACAAAACCAGCACGGACCTCCGATCTTGACGGTGAAGTCCTCCGCCACCATGCAGTTCCTGGCCGCCAGGTCTCTGTGCACAAACTTCTTGGCGTTGAGGTAGGCCATGCCGTCTGCGATCTCTGCTGCCATCTGGAGCATGTCTTTCAGAGTGGGCGGCGGGGAGCCCGACGGGTTGTTCTAGAGAGAAAAAAACGCACATAAAACAACAAACGTCTTCATGGTTTGTCCAGAGTTATTCCCTTCACTCAGTCTGTTTGTAATCCCAACAGGCTGAGGGAACATTTTCTCTTTGCTGATAATAAAAATGGTGATGTGGAGGTGGGAGGACAAACAAACCTCAGAGTCTGGCCTCAGACTCCGCAGGTAGCTCTTCAGGTCACCATGAGTCATCAGCTCCATCACCACCAGTGTGGGCTGACCTTTGGACACCACTCCAAGCAGACGAACCTAAAAACACATTGAAAATATTTTAAAAAAGGCATACAAATGACTAAAGTCATTTTTAAACATTTGTTATTTATTATTTGGACTTATTTTTATTAGGGGTGGTTTCAGCAGACATGTCAGTGAAGGTGAACTGTTGTGCTTTCCTTGAACACATTAGCATAGGTCTTTGGGCAACACTAAACATGTCCTTTACGTTTTTTAAAACAAAATCATTCTTGGATGATGAGACTATTTGTGTCTCCAAACAGACACAAAGGTTCTGCCTATGTGGAACCTCCTTTCAGAATGAGCCGTTTCACTTTATATACAAACTCAACGTTTACATTCACACATGAAAGTGGCTGCAAACGGGCGCACAATTACACAACCATACATCTTTGAAAAGCAGAAATGGGGCCTCCTGCACAACCAACAAGGATGCAGGAAGGAGTTTCTGGGTGGTAAGTCAAGCAACACTTGTCTTTTCCAGCAGCCATTGTATAGTACACACATGGGGTAAAACCAGCTGACCAAATGTGCTGGAGCTCTGCTTGGTTGCAAAGTGACGGATGGAAATCTGTTGGGGTTGCTAGGTGATTGGTAGAATTCCGTTGTGGTTGCTAGGTGACAGGCAGTGCTGATTTATGACGAACCATTTAGAAGGTTTTTGAAACGGCTCATTTTCCAGACATTGAAAGTGTGAAATTTGATTTAAATTTAACCAGATATTATCCAAAACATCCAATTGAATAAATATTGTTACGTTATATATCTAAAGTGCTGGAAAAACACAAAACGTATAAAAATAGACAGTAGCTTGCATATCATTCACTGACTACAAGTGCATTAAATATAAATATTTTCCCGGATCTGCGCGAGAGTCTTTATTATGCAGACAAGTTGCAACATTTACAAATCATTGCTCAATTTGGACTATCTCTCCTCCTCCCCAGGTAAATAATAAAACTCCTCCTCTACATCCCAACACGGTTTTGCTTTTAGCCGACAGCGCGGACGCGCGGCGGCTTAACTGCTCCTCCACAGGTTGTGTAATGAAATAGTAATGGCAGGCACTATCGCTCACGGAGTGTGAACATTTGCTTTGGAGTCTAGCTGCGTGTCAATATGGCAGCTTCAGCACAACAAGCGAGTCATGACTCCGTGAGTCACATGTGCTCATGCTGCTTTCAGCAACATGACAAAAAGCTGTGAGTCAGCGATGGCTTTCGCCCGTACCACGTGGTGACAGTTGAAGGCCTTCATGACCGACGCTTCGTTCAGGAACTCGATCCTCTCCCTCAGGCTGGCCGATTCGTTGACAGTTTTGACGGCGACGCGCGTCTCCGGTTCTCCTTTGACGATGTCCTGAGCGATTCCCTCGTACACCATGCCGAAGGAGCCCTGACCCAGCTCCCGGAGCAGCGTGATCTTTTCCCGGGGAACCTCCCATTCATCGGGAACATACACTACACAAAAAAAAAACAACAAAAAACACAACACGGATGGCTGCAGGAACCCTTCACAGACCTAGAGCTGACTTCTTCTTCTTGTTCTTCTTCACGGTGCCAACATACTTAGGAAAACGGAAAGAGCAAAACAGGGTACAGGTTGGACTTACTGTCATTGGCGCTGAAATATTCAGGATTTGGTGAGGTGATGAGATCTCCTAATGGACCTTCAGTTTGCCTGTAAAACAAGCGCAGAAAGCATGTGAGACGCTGCTAGTAATTGATTACCCTGACAATTAATCGATTCATTGGATAAAAAAAAAGGCACATTCTGCAGATTATTCAATTAACCAACTAGTCTTTTTGATATATGTTAAAAGATGCAGATAAGCAAATAATTAACTTCCTCCTAAATGAAAACACAAGCATTTTCAGCATTTGTTGCAAAGGATGCAACTTCAGATAAAAAAAAATACTTTGAACATCAACAAGTGAAAAGTCCAGTTCCTTCTGCTTTATTTCATATCAGTAGAGTGAAGGGCCTTAAAAAAAACCTCTGAGGCCTTCAACAAACACCATCAAAATCAAAATAAACATCACACTTGATAAACATGCATGATTTTTTTCTTCCACTTTATAATTTTGGCTACTTTGTGTTTGTCTACCAGCAAAAATCCCAATAAAACACATTGAGGTTTGTGGCTGTATTGTTAGAGATGATGGGATGTTGTCTGGGACAAAGTTTATTGAAATTTTTACCTTTTCTTGAAGGCAAAAAAGGCGATGACTCCCACGAGCAACAGCAAGATGGAGGAGACGATCGGAGCGGAAACAATCAAAGCTATACCTGAATCAGCTGCAGGAAGACAGAAGACGGTGAGTAAGAAAACGTATAGCTCTGAACGTCAATCCAGCAAACCATGAATCGCATTACGAAGAAAAGGGAACTGTAAACATCTGGTAAAGCTGGATGTCATCTTGTCTTACGGCTGGGCATGAAGAAGTATGTGGTTTCTGTAAAAGATCCGTTTCCAGCCAACGACGTAGCCCGGACGACCACGCTGTAGTTCCCAGGCTGCAGCAGGGTGAGCTTTGTGCCACCGAACTTCTCGTAGCTCAGCCGTGACACGCAAATTGAGTGGGGCTGGGGAAAAAAAAAGAGGGGAAAAAGTATGAGTTTGCTTAACAAATAATGAGAGGTAAGGTAATTAGTTGGAAAGAAACACTGGATAAAAATGAACAATTTCAAACTGATGCTGGACTATCTTTTCAGTAAAAGACTCAAACCAAAAATTTTGGTCTGATCCTGTGTTCAAGCAGATTTTTTAAGAAAGGAAATGAATCTACGATTAAATGCAGGAGAGAAACTTCCGATATAGATGGAAATGCAGCCACATAAAGCTGCCTTTCAACCAAAATGACCCAAAACCTAAGAAATTTATTTATTTCAGGAAAACTTCATTTTCTTGAAACTCTTTTTTGGGCATTATTTTGCAAAAAAAAAAAAAAAAAAAGGCTTCTTGCATTATTTTGTGGATTTACAGATAGGTAAAGTTTTAGAAAACACAATTAATGATGACGCCTTAATTCAAATGTTCATCTTTAAAAGCTTTGATAAGAGGCTAATTTAATTTATTGTGCACTGCCCCAGCACTCAAACCTTCAAAGTATTCATGCTACAAAATGAATGAATTATCTTACAAAATAAAGGCTAAAGATAAGCAGTGCTTGTTTCATTTTAAGAAATGTTGGCTGTATAACAATTACTGCATGAACAACAAAATATCTTTACGTCTGCCACAAAGGTACAACCTGGTTAATTAATTAAAACATGCTCTGAAAATAATTTTTAATAAATTATAGATCAGTATGTTTAGGCTGCATATCTGTGACTTGACTGCTTGCTTCCTCTGCAGTGCAGACATAGTTTGAGGTGCTGCATTTGAAACCTTCCTTCCTGCTTCTGTCACTTTGGCAACAGCGCTGTTGCTAATGCTGGCTTTCAATCACACATCTGCAGCAAGGAAACAGCTGGAGCCAAATGCGCTCACTGTCACAGATGTGCACCTTGTCTACCAGAACCAGAATCCAATTTTGATACGAAGTGCACACAAAAGTCACTTTCTTTTTCTTTTCCATTGACAAAAAGGATGGATGGATAGATAGGATGGGATAAAGCCTAGTAGTAGGAATACTTCTCAGAGTTTTTAGATTTCTGGTGTGAGCACCATGTTTGTAAATCTGCATCAGCCGAAGAGGTTTACCTCCGTGTCTCCAACCTTGCGGTAGAACACCTCATAAAGGATGATGAGGCCGTTAGGCGATGGAGGCTCGTGCCACTTCACAAGCACATGGGGAGGTTCTTCGTTCACAATCTCATGGGTCACCGGGCCCGGGATGTCGTCTGCTTTTACTGGACATTAGGAGCAGCATCTCAGTGGGGCTAATTTCATCTCAAACATCAATATATGCTATGGCGTTAGCTTTAAGTTCGACAAACAAGCAGATCGGTGGTAGCTTTTAAACATCTAACCAACTTGTAAAGATTTATGAGCTGATATATGAGAGGGTCCTTACACTCCGGCATGGTCCGGGCGCTGACGTAGGTGGCCATGCTGCAGCGGTTGGGCTCAGTGGGATGGTTGCAGGCTATGATCTCTATCTTATAGCTGGTGAAGTGCTGCAGGTTGGATATGACCGTTGACTCCCTTCCAAACACATTTTCCACCACCTGAGCAGAAATAAGGAGAGGGAATTAGTTTGACTGTGCAAATAGATCCAGTAAAAATAATAAAGCGGGTTTCACACTGCGTTATTAACCAGCATCCGAAACCAAACAAAGCACCGAATGAGAACTTTACCCGTGAAACAGAACTATATTTTTAAGACTTCGGATACCTTATCGTCCTTCTCTTCTTCCTTGTACGAGGCAGTGGTGGTCTGCAGACTGGACATTGTGGAGTAAAAGTGCGTGGACTCGACGGGCTCAGGATTCTCCACAGAGCGTCGTGGACGACTTTGTCTGGGAAAACAAGGCAAGGAGACGTTACAAAAAGCAAACAAATCGTGACCTCGAACTCGGCTTTCCCAGGTATCGATCCGACATCATGGCTTCGAAACGATAAACTCCCTCCAGAATGTTCAAGACGCCAGCAGCCATTTGCAGCAGGTGACGCCACTGAGAGAAGCGTCCTTCACCTCCAGCGCCTCCGATTATCTGGCGAAATCCACACGTGTTTGGCAATTCTTGCCAAAAAACGAGTGAACAGGCTGAAAACATCTCCAGTGGGAAATTAAATTTAGTTTTGAGATTTGTTTTCCTTTTAATCAACATAACTGATGTCACACTTATTGGCACACCTGCTGTCTCTAGTCAGCAGAGAAACTTTCCACAATAACACGACGGTGGAACAGAGAGAGAGGGATTTTTGAGGCGCGGGGGCCACATCCAGCCCTCAGTATGATTTCGTTTGGTCCCTCATCATAATTTAAAACCACCAACATGTTCCGATACTAAAAGATTTAACATACCAACATTTTTAGTTATCACATTTCCTCCTAACGTTTTTAAGAAGGAGCAGATTGAAGTAAAAACTTTATTCATATTCCATTGGTTGGTAGAATTTAAAAACTTCTTTTTTTTTTTATCTCCTGAAAAGTTTCTTGGGTTATTCAATGATAAACAGATTCACAGCATCCTCCATTCTCCAGTAAGCTCACTGTGCAGAGATAAATGTGGGCCTAGAGGTCAGTGGCTAAAAGAAATAGGCCTCTCTATCACCACGGAAACAAGTTTTGAATTATTAATTAGAAGTTGCTTGAAATCCTGATCAATATAACAAAAAAATCTTACTTTTAAAATTGCTTTGGTAGTGTTTACTTTTTTTTAGGAAAAATCAGTATTTCACAGAAACAATTATTTCCTAAAATGCTATTTTTTTTGTCACAGAATAAATCTTAAAGGTTTGATTTCTTTCTCAGTGTGAGACAACATTTGGTTTAAGGCATTTTTTTTTTACCAAAGGTATCAATAAATCCTGTGGAGGACATTATATTTGTCAAAACACAGAAATAAACTTTTCTTCACTTAAAAAAAATCACAGAATTCATGTTTAACCACAGCAGCGGTCGCCTTGTTGATGCTTAGCTCCTGCCGAGTTGAAAAAACACCCATGTCTCCCTCTGGTTGATGGACTTAGGGAGCACGAGGATTGTTGTTTGTACCAAGAGCTCGACCCGTCCAGAGCCATGAGTGTGCGAAGCAGAGTGTTTGTGTGTTTCCAAATGGCGGTTCGCATGATTGCACTTCTGACTGGCATAAATGAAAATGGGCACAGTAATCACTCCCTTGGGGAAGTGTGTGTGTGTGTGTGTGTGTGTGTGTGTGTGTGTGTGTGTGTGTGTGTGTGTGTGTGTGTGTGTGTGTGTCAGGGGGGAGGGAGGGACAGACACTCAGCACCTCCCACCTTAAGCCCCTCATAAATTGTTGCTTTGCACAAAAACAAGCGTCTAAGAAAACCCGCAGACAGAAAGATGTGAGCTGCTTCGAGATGAAACGTCACGGTTTCTGGGATTAAAAAAAAAAAAAAAAGTCTGCTGATACTGTTGTAAACAATTGTGAAGTAGCTGATTACTGTGTGAAAATGGTGGCTCAAATTGTTCGGTGCTTTTTCGACTTGACTCCTCCACTAAGCTTACTTTACAGTAAGTTATCAAAGGTGGTATTTTTTTTTATTAATTTCTTTTTGATCTTGTTTTTTAAAATGACACTTTTATCTTGTTTGCATTTTTTATTGCTATTATTTTGTTACTCAGGGTTCAAATGCAATCTTGAAATTTCAGGAATGTAGGAGTTTTCCAGGTCAGGATAAATATGGAAAAAGATGAGAAACTGGAAAAATATTTATATCTCCATTCTTTATTCCAGATTTCCTTCCTGGATCCATCTTTTTTCCGATCCTGCCTTTCTTTTCCTTTTTCTCCTTCTTCATGTCCTTCCCTTCTATTTTTTCCATCACTTTCTGCCTCCTATGTCTCTTGTTGAATATTTCCTCTCTTTATTCCTTTCTAGTGCGGTTCCTTCTTTCCTTCCTGTCTCTCGGTGACTTTCAGGATTTTGTACTGAAAATGTAAAAATTGATCAGGCATTTGAGGGTTTAAATTTCATAAAATTGGGTAAAATCATCTGGAAATGTGACTCTGGAAAAGACTCAGCTCGACGCAAGTTGTGAATTGGTGCTATATATAAATAAACTGACTGTCAATCCGAGACAACTCACTTGCTCTCAAACACGACATTATGGAGGTAATCCTCAAAGGTCTTGCGGTACGCTATCTCCTTCTGCTGCTTCTCGAGCTCCATTTTCGTCTTTGGGCAAGTGCAGCACCCGCCCCCCGAGTTGGGCTCCTCTGTTCGGTTCCACTTCTGCTCGTCTTCGCTGTCGAGGTGGGTCGGGGTGCGGGACGGCAGCTTCATTCCTGGGAAAGACGGAGTGGCGTCAGGTGAAGCCGGGAGGAAGGGGAACAGCCGATGGTTTCAGTTTCCACTCACCTTGCAGGCAGTAGTCAAACTTGTAGAGGTCACTGTCCTCCTCCTGCTTGTGACAGATGACCCGGTAGTGGGTGATGTTGCCGTTGGGGCTGGTGGGAGGCTTCCACTTCAAGATGATCTGAGATGAGGAGTTCGAGGATGAGATGGGGTCCAGAGGTCCAGAGGGCTCTGAAGGAGGCAAAAGACAACATTTAGCCAAAACTGTAAAATAAGACACAGTGTGGCCTTGAAGTAGAGCTGTTTGATAGACTTGCATGGATGAAAACACACACAGTTCCAGCAAAAACAGGAATGACGACAGGGCAATGCAGCTCAGAGATGGTTCATTCGAATACTCTCATATGACGCACATTAAACAGTGAGAGGTTCTACTGTTATGGCTTTGCCAGAAGAGAAGGGAGAAATAAGAATGCAATTAAGTTACACCGCATGCATGCGGTTCCGAGTTTAAACACGCAAAGCATGCTGTGAATTGTTTTCAGGAGAGGAAATTATGCAGTCAGGAGCAGAATCGTGATCATGGTTTTATTACAATTTCCCTTAGAATTTCAATCTCATAAGATTTGTGCCCAGACAACTAATGAACATTCACAACACCGAAGCAAAGTGCGGCCATGGTACGGTCAGCTGTTTTTATGAAGCAAAACGTAGCGAAAGAAGATGAAAGATAAGACAATACGACATGAACAGCTGTGTGATTCCATGTTTTACTGAATAAAAACTCAGACTGTAAGATAAGTAACCTAAATTTGCTGGGTTTAGGTCAATAATTATCAGTTTCATCAAATATTTCTGTAGAAAAAAGGAAAAAAAAATTAAATAATTTTATACACAGGGAAAGAAACTCTCCTTTTTAACAAATTAAAAACTTATCAGACTGAAAACTACCCTTTAATGTTCTAACAATCATTTATTGTTTATTTCTATCAAACTCTGCAGATTGCTACAAATCGTTTGGGAATGTTGAATCTGTCTTCTGCTGAGGATCTTTACAGATACCAATGTTCTCTCTGTTTTGATATGCCTCATTGGTCATTTTTTAATTATTTTTAATTATGCTTGAACAAAACCTGCAGAAAAAGTTGCTGTTCTGTTTCATAATAAGCACTTTTCTTTAAAAGCTGCATCAATTGACGTCTAGTTTTACAGCACCATGCAGTGCTCGAACTTTTATTAACTCTGCTTTAAAGCAAGTTAAGCTAAGCGGTTCTGTCAATGATGAGATCCGGACCCAGTTGACATAAACAAATACATTTACATGTCATCTAAGCAGTTTAAAAATCTAAAAACAAACACCAGGGTCAGTTCTACTTACTTGAGGCGTCCGTGCGAACATACATGATGTTACTCTTGGCTCCGTGAACCTGATGCTCGTCGGACGCAGACAGCTGGGTTCTCACCATGATGGCGTACTGGGTCCAGGGTTTCAACGACCGGATGAGGTAGCCTGGATCTTCCTGGTTGGCGCGGGGCGGCGGGTCGACGTCAGCAATCACCCAGCTGTTTGAGCCGCACGCATCCTGTCCGTCGAACTCCGTCACATTCTTGTACGGGCTGCGTTTGGCATAAAAAAAATAAAATAAAGTTAATAAGAAGACTCAGGAAAAAAACAAAACAAAAAACAAAAAAAGAATGCACAATGACTATATCAGTATAAAATATAACAATACCGCTAATAAAACAAAACAAAACTTATCATTCGGGATATAAAAACCTCCCACTTACGCCTCTTTGTAGAGAACCATAAATCCCAGCAGGTCTCTGTAGTCCGACGGCCAAAACGAATTCCACTTCAGGATGATCATGTTGGCCCTCACCTTGACAGACGTGAAGTTCAGCAGCTGCATCTCACCTACACAACAAAAGAGTCAGGGGTCAGCATATCTGTATAAATAGCTTGAAATACACAGAAACCTTCGGTCTCTAACACGAAAATAATTAAAGTTTGATAAGATGAAGTTTTATCCAAAACTTCAACAAAAGCGTTAATTCTTTAAAAACATTTCATGACATTAAATTTACAAACTTGATATGTTGTTGAGACCTACACAAAGTGGTGCATATTTGAGTGGGTGGAAAATATTTTTCCTATCAGTTTTCCAAAAATGTTTACTGAGTCAGACAGGAGGACTCTTACAGGAGGCCTGGTCTCCGTTGGTGCGAGCTGCGATGTCGTTCTTCTGGTTGCGCTCCTTGGTTCCTGTCACCTCCTCCAGCTTTCTGATTTCCGACATGCAGAGCTTAGAGTTGAAGTGGAAGAACGTGCGGCCTCGCTCGATCGTCAGGTTGTGCTTGGACCAATCCCACAGCTGGCGGAGGTTCTGGTTGTCAAGCGCGTAAAAGGCGTAGCTACTAACGGAGGAGCGCAGAGATAAGCGGTTAACGGACTCGTCCTGGCATGAACTAAATATGAGACGAGAGGTGGGAGAAGGAGCGCTTACTCTGCTTCAAGCTGCTCTCCCTTAATGGTATGTAGCTTTCGCAGGAAGGAGAGGGAGACCAACGCGTAGGCTCTGCGAATACTCAGGTAACCTTTGATGACCTCGATCTGTCCAAGGCTGGCCTCCAGCTCGGCCGCTATGTTCGCTGCAAGCAGGAGGACAGTGGAGTTTGCAGCCAGGCAGAGACGATTATGCAGAACAAAGAACGACAGAACATGCAGCTGTTGCAGGCGGTGGGTAAAACTGCTCACTTCCTCCTCGGATCTTGATGACCATGTTGCCCTCGATGACAGTGCATCCTCTTAGCACCTGGGCCGAAGTTACAGAGTCAATCGTTTTATTTCCCTGGCATGCTTTAGGACAGGGGCCCGCACAAGGTTCACAGGTCAGCCTAAACAAACACAAGAACTGAGATTAAACCAACCAGTACATCATTTTCAAATCTGTTGTTTCTTTGTTATATTCTTGTTTGTTTGTTTGTTTGTTTGTTTTTTTTAATGAAAAATCGTAGTGGCTCGGGAGGAGGATCCTCAATTTCGTTGTGCCTTCAGATATAATGACAATAAATTCAATTCTACTATATTCTCTTTCATTTTAACATACAATGAGTGTCCTACAGCTCCAAATGCACAGAAAATGTCCAAATTGACAAATTATCCATCCATCCATTTTCTTTACACCCTTGTCCCTTAGTGGGGTCACTGCTCTGTTGCAGGGCAACACAGAGACACACAACCATGTACACACACACTCACACCTAGGGGCAATTTGGAGAGGCCAATTAATCTGACAGTCATGTTTTTGGACTGTGGGAGGAAACCGGAGTACCCGGAGAAAACCCACACATGCACAGGGAGAACATGCAAACTCCATGCCAGGAATTGAACCCAGACCCTTCTTGCTGCAAGTCAACAGCTCTACCAACTGCACCACTGTGCAGCCCCATGAATGAATATTCTATTTCATTCTGACATACAACGAGTGTCCTAGAGCTCCAAATGCACAGAAAATGTCCAAATTGACAAATTATGAGTCAGATTTTCTTTAAGGGTTATCAGAGTAAGACTGGGCTCAATATCAATCTACAGCACATTTATGTTTAAATGTAAAAAAAAAAAAAAAAAACATGCATCAGTGTTCTTTTACTTCACAATCATTGTGTACTTTGTCTTACTGTGCCACATAAAATCCCTGGAAAATATATAAAATTTGAGGTTGTAACATGTCAGAAGTTGAATCTCAGGAGGTGATTGCAAATCAAATTAATTTGGGGCTCAAATGACAACCAGCTTCTGTCTGCTTGGTTGCAAATAAATCTGCTCACAATTCAGAAGTGAATGTTTCTCTCCGGTAATCAGATAACTCCCATAATGAGCCCGTAAAACGCAGATTACACCCGCTCTCTTTCACTTCTGCACCTCCTTGATGTTTATTTGGACCGCGGCGACCGACGTAAATGATCAAAGCGAGCGTAATGACTGACAAACCCAAACAAACACCGCCGTAGCTCCCAAAGGGGCTCGCGCCTGTTGCTTTGTCTCTCTGTTCGCTCGGTGACGTCCTCTGCCTGCACGCGTGCACTTCTGCACGAAATCACAAATGCAGGCGGGATTTCACAGCACGAAGAGGCCCTGATGGCACCTTTTAGGAAATTCGTCGACAAACGAGCTTCGAAGACCCCTCGAAAGATTCCTAAAGAGCTTAATCCGTCTTTTTGTTCCTTTTTACAGACAACTGCTTTCAAGCCCGAAGAGCTTCGCTTGAAAATGACTTGAAATGTGTGGAGAAAAGCTGCATTTATAATTCAGAAAGACAATGATTAAACCTTTGACAGAAAGATTAAAAATGCTGACAATACAACTGTAAGGAAAGCTAAAAAACAAACTCATATTGTTTTGTTTTTTTCCCCCAGTAACAGATGTGAATTGACAACATCTATATAATGAAACACTGATTTCCACGGCAACAACAGTGTCGATGACATCACAAGATTATAACTGATCAGTTGGCACCAGTAAACCCTATATTGGTCCATCCATGTTATGGATTCATGATGAGAAGATCACAATATCAAAAACATAAAGAAAGGATTCATAAATGTTCAGTTTTGACTTGTTTTAATTTTTAAGTGGCCTTAATGCCCGTATTATTAAAGGATAAAAGGCATATGTTTCTATATTAAAGTGTTGTTATATTAACTGAAAAAAATAAATGCCTCATGTGATGTAACTGGAGGGAGGAGCGCGCTTAAAATTTCTCTTTGGGATGCCGTTTTAATTATTCAACTATAAAACAGCAAAACAAAAGAAAAAGAAATGATGGCATGTTGGTCTATAGCTGACAAACCCCATTTAAGGTTTTGTGTAAAATTCTGGCTGGTAGCTTTAACAAGTTTAGATCAGGCAGAAGGGTCACCTTTTATTAAAGCCCCTGCACATGGGGACATAAGCCGACAAAGGATGCTGCTGTTTGTTGAGGGAAACATATAAGCTATGCACAAACTGCTGTTTGAAATCTCTTCATGCTTTAAATTCTGTTTATGTAACTCCTATTATAATCCCTCTCTCAAGGACCGTGCCCTGACTTTCTCCCTCTTCCTGCTGCGCTGTCCTCACAATGGCATTTAGTACAAAGACACGGAAACCTCCCAGTTCCAGCCCCGACGATCTTTGTTTACGGTTTACCGAACGCTCGAGGATTCCTACCAATTAAAGACCAACTAAGTGTTCCTCTTTGAGCGAGTGAAAACACGGTAACAAGCGCTCCAAAACAATGAATAATAAGAAAAATTCAAGGACTTGTTGTCTTTCTCCGTCTCCCACACATGGAGGGGAAAGAAAAAAAAAAAAAAAACATATACTCTGCCTCTCCAGCGTAACGCTCTAGTTGCAGCGCAGAAAAGGGAGAATGTTTTGGGCTGTTGTACCAAAAACACAGACACACAGGCAGACAGGCCGGGGCTCCGAGGGCAGCTCTTAAAGGGACAGTGTTTATCTGAACCCTGTGACTCGGACTCCGGGGTCTGTTGGAACCATCTAGAGCAGAGGCCTGCAGCTGACGCTCAGGTTTTGGTTTCGGCCCAGCCCTGACAGAACCACACCAAATGTGGGACTGCGTGCTCGCTGTCACGTTGTCCAAAAAAAGATGAGCAAACTCCTTTCCCATAGCAGACAGAAGCAGATGCTTTCTGAGAGCAGCAGATGTGGCGAAACGCAGTTTGGGAGAGAAATTGAAATGAATTTAACGTCATAAAACAGATTGGAGCAAATTTCCAAATGTGTACAGCATGCCATCATAAAGCTTAACGTCTTTTGATGTGTGATATCTTGAGGAATGTTACAGATTTGTGAAATGAAGACATTAAGACTGCACTGAAATTTCCAACAATGAACATTTTTCATGTCCAAATTTTATAGTTTTCCAGACTAATGTCAGCAGAGTTCTCAGTTCACCTTTGATTTACTTCCATGAATTAAAAAGTTCACTATGAGAGAAGGTTTCATCCATGCCAACGCAAAACATGAATGAATGGATGGGTGGATGCATGGATGGATGAATAAACAGACGGGTGGAGCAGAGGTGGGTAGAGAACCCAAAACTTGTACTCAAGTAAGAATAGAACTACTTCGATATATTTTTACTCAAGTAAAATTAAAAAGTAACAATCTGTGAAATTTCTCTGAAAAGTATTTAGTAAAAAGGCAACTCAAGTATTGATTAACTGAGCAGAACATTTAAAAGTCCCATCATCAAAAGGAGCGAAATATGCGGTACATTATGTTGAAATTTTGTTGTTTTTTTAAAGATCAAAATAAAAATAAGTAATATAAATGGCATAACTATAAAATAGCAAAATCAGACAAAAGAAAAATTCTTCCAAATCAGTTTTCAATATAAAACTTCACTTTAACAAAAACTGCAGGTGTTTGCCTGGGTCTGGCTAATTTTTGGTAAAAGCAAGTTTGTTCTTGTGAAGTCACTCGCACAGAGTATCCAGAAATTTTACTCAAGTAAAAGTAGCGACACTTCATACTAACCTTACTCAAGTAAAAATAATAAAAATACTTGTAAAAGTAAATTTTTTTAGTCCTAGTTACTACCCAACTCTGTGGTGAAGGAGACAAAAGAAACGGATAGACAGATGGAAACCGATCATCTCAGTGAAACGTCCAGACGGCCCTCACTGGATCACTACATTAGTTATGGTTAAAGCTGCCGTACACCTTCGTGAATACAATGTAAGTAAAGAAAATATCCAGCAACCATCCAATTTTGTGACTGCGTCTGCAGCTTGTGAGAAGCTGCGCATCTGTGATGACGTCAGTTCTTGCTTTAACCAAAACACACATCGGCCGCGGTGTTGCAACACGGGCCTGATGGAAAAGTCTTGTTTATCGCACGATATCTACGGGCGCACATGCAAACGCAAACTCTGCTCTGGAAAACTTTCAGACACTTCACGGGATCCGTTTCCGACCCAACCACCAGCACTAAAAGGTGAGATTTAAAGTCCAAAACTCAGCAGCATCACAACACCGGCAAACATTTCTCCAGAGCAGGATGGAGGTGCAAAAGAGAGGAACGTTTCCCACAGAGTCTTGTTATCACGGCCGTCATGTGCTGAAACTCTACTTCCTGTCGCTCTACTGGATCTCAGGGTTGCATTCAACACTCAATCACAGCGTAAAGATGGACGGGAAAAATGGGATTTTCTCGTACTGTGGTCCAGGTCTTACTTGGATGAGTATGAGCAGAAATCACACATAGGGTTTCTCAAGACGCCGTTCTTGAATAACATCCATTTAATATCCATATTCTCCTCCCGGCTCGGATTATGGAGCGCTACGGCATCTCTCACCCTCCTGGTGAATTGCAGCTTCATATTTCTGTGTCACCACGTGACTACGGTTCCTTACAATCACTGCATCAGTGGGGTCAAAATACCAATAGGTAGCGGTAAGAGTTTCCCTCCAGCTTAATGATAGGAAGACGACAAACGTCTCTGTTTTTAATCCCAGCAATACAAAGTGAGAGATTTCCACTTACTTCATCTTAGTGAGCACAAGACTCAAAGAAACCTGGGTGGTGTTGTGCTGTCACATGTACATTTTACAATTCACATAAAGGCTGTTACTAAATCCATATAAAACCAGAATAAAGGTTTTTCAGTGAAAACTGAGAAATAGGTGAATGCTTTTATTTATTTATTTTTATTTCATTTTAATCATGTTTTATCTATTTATTTTAGATTCACATTTTAACGTCGCTCCTGCTTTATGCAAAACTTAAATTTCACTTTTATTCTGTGATTGTTTTTCTCCTTTTCAGTACAAGTGTTTTTCCTTCTAGTTGCTTGATTTCAATTTAAAGCGCTTTAAATTATATTCTGTA